TTTTAAACCCGAAAGAAGTTAACTCATAAAAAATAACCCCTACCCTACTCTAGTCGAACTAAAACAAAACTAGGAGACATACAAGAGGGAGCTGAACAAAAAACTCTCGACAGAACCCAATGCCACAATCGACTGCTTGGCACAAAAGATTAAAAATGACATACATACAGTCATCAAAAAAACTAAACTATCGGACCATTCTTCAAAATTCGAAGCTCAAGCCGGATACTCGCAAAATGATAGCGGAGAGAGGAAGTCTGCATTCACCTGAATACACCGAAATAAACCGAAACATCTCAAAGAAAATTAGACAAGACCTAAGAAGATACAACACCGAAAAAATAAAAGAGGTCATAGAAAACAACAAAAGGGTGAAGAACCTTAAGCAGTCACAACGAAAAGGCAAAATGAGAGTCCACCAAATGAAGGATAAGAATGGAAACAAACAACACGAAAGAATAAAGATCGTAACGATTATCCAAGAGTACTATAAAGAACTCTACTCAGCACCACCCCACAACCAAGATGTCGAACAAAGGATGAACATAAAGAATACAGGTTCTGGAGACAAGACGAAATCACAATAGAAATGTTAAGACTAGGAGGAGAAAATGCGCAAAAAGCAGTACAGTCTCTCTTAAACAGATGCGTTGAGACAAGTCAAATCCCCTAATCGTGGAACAACGCACATGTCGTGATACTTCACAAAAAAAGGGGATAAAAAATCAATAGAAAACTATAGACCCATCAGCTTGCTTCCACATCCGTAACAACTTCTCACAAAAATCAAACAGGCTAACATCAAAAATTAACTCGTATCAGCCAGAAGAACAGGCAGGTTTTCGGAAGGGATATAGCACCACAGATCACCTTCAAACAATTCACACACTTATAGAAAAATGCACTGAATACAACGTCCCACTACATATGGCTTTTATAGACTACAGCAAGGCCTCTGATTCTATACACCCAAGTTTAATATTTAAAGCAATGGAAAACGCACGGATTGACTCAAAATACATAAACCTGTTGAAACACATCTACGAGAACGCCACATTCCAAGTAACGATCGAAAGCGACATGATCACGGACAAAAAACGCATAAGACAGGGCGACGCCATTTCTCCCAAGCTTTTCACCCTAGCCATGGAAGATATATTTAAAAACTTCATCATGGGAAAACAAAGGCGTGAATGTAGATGACAAATATCTCAACCATCTAAGGTTCGCCGACGACATCGTCCTAATCGCAAAACACTCGATGAACCAAAAGAAATGATACAGCAACTGAAGCAAGCATCGCAGAAGGTGGGACTGGAGATGAACATCGCAAAAACAAAATTCATGAGTTAAGGTGGGGCAAACCTACTTACCATCGAAGGCCAAGAGATAGAAAGAGAAGACGAATACGTCTATCTGGGGCACTAGATCAAGCTTGGGAAAGAGAACCAAAAGGCTGAAATTACCAGAAGAGTGAGCATGGCCTGGGCAACGGGCAGCATTTGGAAGCTTTATCATTTAAAATCCAGAAATTCGTAGAAACATGAAAAGAAAAGTGCATGACATTTGCATACTCCCTGTACTGATATACGGCGTGGAAGCAAGGACACTAACCATAAAAAGTGAGAGTTACTCAGAGGGGCATAGAAAGCGCAATGCTAGGCATTAGTCTGAGAAACAAAATAAACAACTACGACATACGTCGACGCACGGGTGTGAACGATGTGATCCAGTGCATAGCAGAAGCAAAGTGAGATGGGCAGGCCACGTGGCGAGGCAACCGAACAATAAATGGACAAAAATAGTCACGTAGTGGAGACCAAGAACACACAAACGCGGCAAAGGGAGACCCCAAAAGAGGTGGATGGATGATATTTACCGGAGGGCAGGGAGACGATGGCAACACATTGCACAAGACCGTCAGGGATGGAAATTGGAAGGGAAGGCCTATGTTCAGGAGTGACACGACTGGACTGCTTATGATGATGATGATTCAGTCACTTCCAGTTTGACTACAAACTACCATAACTTCTTCATTCTAATGATATATTTTAACTTATCTCGGAATCGAACAGCAGGAGAAAAGTAGCTCTAAGCAGGGTTTTTGGACAATTTCCTCCATAAAGAAAGATGACGCCATACACGTTATAACGATGACCAACTGTGGGTAAATATTTCAGAATGTAACGCCACTTGCTAGTGCATAACAATCCGCTCATTATATGCACAGCAGCATGTTGGCTTTAGGTGCAGATGAAAATAATGAGATAGTTTGGCAAGGATGACACTTAATTACTACATTCGGAGAACCATTACAATTTATATAAACATTTTGGCCAGCAGAGGTGAGTTGCGAATTATTTTATCATCACATATCGCCGGTTCTCATCCGAGAAGTTTAACAAAATAGAAACTTCCGTAAATAAAATCATCTTTTCGAATTTGAATAAATCAATGCTACAATTTCACCCCTCAATAAATTCACGAATCAGTTCCAGTTTCAAGTAAACAATTTCCAGGGCCATTAAAACTCTTACTTAAGTCAACAGTAAGTTGAGACGGGTATTTCCGGATGAAGTAAAGCCATTATCTGCGGTAATGCGCACATTAAATTTCTGAATGGCTACGATTATTATTTGCTAAGCTAAACAAAATTCAGTGACGATAAATATTAATTTATTTGATACATTTTATTATTGTGGTTCATTAATAAACCTATGCTCTAATTCAAAACACCAACAAAAAAAAAAGCTATTCATTCGCCTAAATTGAAATTTGCATATTCATATCTTTGCATATCGCACGATCATTATTCAACATGCACATAGTAATTTTGATAAATTAATTACTCCGACGCTCTATTGTTTCATCTGAATATAGTGGTGCAATCGCGCTGCCAAGTTTTTTTTCCAAATCAACCTAAATTATTGAGCTTTGTGATGTACGACACTGCAGGACATAAAATCATGACAGTATATTCAAAGCGAGCTAACACCAATAAATTTGGGAAAATATGATTTTTTGCCTTCAAGCATAGGTTATTTTGATTCTTAAAATTTTAATAAAAGAGTTTACATACGACAATAGAGAAATTTATAAGCATAGATCAGTAGTGGAAGTGGCTGAGGGAGGCTATGGAACTTGTCAGAAAACAATCCACAATCGATCAATGAATTTCCCTATATAGTTGATATAGAGGCGAGCTGAATAGGAAATAATTTTAAATAACGTACCGCAAAACTGCTGCCGGAGATTTCACATTAGAATGATTCTTGAGTAGTCGGAGATCGATATTTCAACCATAAAGGTGGTAATTAAAATGCTATTTATTAGTTCATAAACGAAAATATGGTAACATTTAATGGTAAACAGATACAAGGCTATTTAGAAAACATATACTGAAACCTATCAAAAATCATTTGAAGAAATCTTTCAAAATCGATTCGCTGATGATGGGAAGCAGCAAATCTCTACTTCCAGCTCTTAGAAAAGCTGCTGGGCGTGAAAAAAATAAAATAAAGGTACCTCGTACAATTCCCTATAAATCTAAAACTGGTGCAACTATTTCGCTGGATACCCTTATTCGCAGGACTTGGTGCATTGGGTAGTCTCGCTGGAGGTGCATCTGCAATAACACTTACTTCATGAGAAGAGATGAAACCTATCTTTTATGGAGGAATGTCGATATTCCGATAATGTGAAGCCAGAATGTTTTCAAAATTTAAAAATCATCCTGGTGCCCATTTGGCTTGTTTAAAGGGACAACAGCGTCGATTAAAGCTACAAAATGCTGTACTGTGATTGGTTGACTTTGGAATTCTTCAAGGGCAGAAAAATTCTTGTATCAGAATTAGCTTAGATTCGGTATAAACTCTTTTCAGGTGATTATCTAGGTCTGATTGATTTACTGGTGGCCTTAAACACAAAATTAAATAAAAATTACGCGGAATATCGAAAAAATAAAGGAATCGTGCTCTAGATATCAAAAAAGTTCAAGAGAGAGCTGAGAGGATTCAAGAGGCGGTCTTGAAGGAAGTACTCAAGACTATATGCTAGACTACATACCAAGAACTCCCTCGAACGGCCCGAAAACAACAATGGGTTCATTCATGAACGGTCTCGGTGAATACACCGGAGAAGAAACAGCTAAGCTAAAAACCCACTTTTCCGGCTCAAAGATAGTTGATCAGACTCAGTGACTCAATTTTATCTTGAAGTTGCTAGAGACAAAAAAAGACCAAAGTAGATGAAAAATCAATAATCAATCAGACACAATAAGAATGTTTCCACAATTCGTAATATAAGGTAGGTACTCAATGTTAGCATGTAAAACTTATACTTAATAGGTAGGTACGGTAAAAGTTTTAAGAATTATTTTTAAGCAAAGCGAGCACGTAGTCAAGGTGATGATATATATGGTTTGCTGATTCTGCATCATCATTATTTTTAAAATTTTAAGATCTAGGTTAAGCTCTCTCGCATATAAATGACGCCAAAATAGTGTCCTCTACATATTTTGCATGAGACTTTTCCCGGAAATTTATACGTCTCCCGCGCGAAGCCAGAAAAATGTACTTTGAAACGATTTATTTCAAAAGAGCTTTTCACGCCTTATAAATTAGAAATGATATTAGATTTTGCGGTTATGCTTATTGGACACAATCCTATAATCAACGCTGATGAAATTGATGTTCATTTGAACGCATCATCAGTCAGCACAGCGGCTTCATTGAATTTTTTTCTATCTGTGATAGCGCAATTTCGGCCAAAATACCGAATTTGTTTCGTATAATCTCCCTGCATGAAATACGACAGGACGGCTTTCAAAAAAATTAAACGAGCGTGTATTAGGCAATCGTTTATTTGTCGAAAATTTGTAGCGGAACGGCGACGGAGTGACGCGACGAGGAATAAAATCAGCGTTGACAAATAACACCATTTTGCATTTCTATACAAAAACGCATAAAAACAAAAAATATATTTTACATGGAAATGCTTACATGGCAAAACGATTCTTTGTTTCCAATAAAATTTTTTTTTAAATGTAAACATTTTAAAACTCTTTTCGCTTTCATTGTCTCGGGAAAATCTAAAAAGCTTGTCGACAAGGCAGTTGGCACATTTTTACGTGATAATGAGCATTAAATCTTCAACTTTTCTCCTTTTAGAGATACCTTTTCTTTAAAACTTGGCAAGGGGAATCTAGTAATAAATCTTTTTGAGGAGTTTACTAGTGGCTCTCCTATCAGTAGCTAGTAATGTACACCAATAAAGTGGAAATGCATCATTTTTATCATAGAAAAACACTTTATAGTGTATACTGACGTTTGCGAGGCTTAAAATCTTACATCTTAGCATAATGAAAAACGAAGACTTTTTTTTCTGAAATTAAGAGGCTACAAAATCAATTAGGATAAAGTAAATTTGCTTTTAACGTCACGTCAGAGAATATCCTAGTTTTCGAAAAACCCATTGAAATTGAGGCTTTTACAAAAAATAATAAAATAATTTATTCATTACAAACACCAATCATGAAGCCTCAATCTTTTGACTTCTTCCATTTTTGTTCTGTACCAATTCGCAGAGTCAGTTTAAGGTAGTTTTGCCAAAGAATAAATATTTAGTAAAAAATACTTTGCACTTTGCGTATTATCCACAAACATGCCTGGAGGTTCTCCCTGAGTTCTTTGTTTGCCCTAAAAAGGACCTGCAAGAAGTCAGAAAAATCAGCCCATGCGAGATACAACTCCTGAACTCTGACACACACCCCTCAGTTTGCAAGCAAACCGAAGTGAGCGTTCCAGAAGCGATAATTAATCGTCTAGACACTACCAATCAATGGATACTGATATTTCCAATTACGGAAACTATCAAAATTCAGTGTTTTAGCCAAGAAAAAGTCCAAAACGTCATAGGGACATACATTTGGCAAATTCCTATGGGATGCAGAGTCAGCACAAACTCATAACTGGTTATCAATGAACAAAAGCTAATCAGTCCAAATCGGCAACCCCCCTGATTTTGCAGAAATGTCAACAACACTACCATCAGTTAAGATATGAAATCTTCGAAATTCAGTCTCATCTTAATTTCAACCAAATTACTAGAAGTCCAGGTATCTGGAACCTGCTTCTGTATGGGGTCATTGCCATTTGCTGCCTGGTTGCCATCTACAAATATGTGATGCCCATCTTCCAAACCAGAAGAAAAAAGAACGATGCCCCCGCAATTGAAGTCCAACTACCCCGTCAAGCGTAGAGTTAGAAGTTAAGGAGGGGAATAGTTATGTCAGTAATAGGCGCTGACTAAAAAATCAACTTGCTTGCTGCTTACTGTGCTTTTCACCTTTATATAAGTAATTTCTCGACAATGTTAAGTTAGTCAGTTGAATTTTCTTGTAACGATTAAATTTTTCGAGTTAAGTCTTGAATTTGTAATTTTTAAGTCGGAAATATATTTTTTTTTTAAAACGTTAACCCGGTCGCATAGAGGTAAGTAACACCCTGTTTAGCATTCGGCAATCCGTTCGACAACGGTTCGTTTTTTTAAATGTAACACCCGTGGTTGCATGGATGTGCGCTTTATCGGGTGTTACTTACCCTTGGTATTAGATAAGCCTATTTACTATTATCATCTTCTAAATAATTATTTTAGGGCATTGAAATTTTAAAACATGGGTATATAAGTGCAAAATATAATTATTATTGTCATATTATTCTAAACTATACTGTGCGTTCGTAATTTAGCAGATAAAAACAATAAAAGAGATTTCTCGAAAAACCTCGAACACTAATTTTAATTTAGGAGAACGTCTTTTTCACTATTTATATAGTTGTGGAACATCGAAAATTCCAAAAACGTTTCACATTTTTAAATAACACACTGTATATGACCTTTTTTTATTTTTTTTTTTTTTTTTGTGAAATAACAAGGAATTTATTAATATAAAGGGTGGGCTCAAAAAACCGGAATTTTGTTTTTGAGCTGTAATTTTTTTGTTGCTGACCAATTTCCTATTGTGTGTAGATATAGACTACAAAAGATTCAGAATAATTGTATAAGATAGGTATATACTGAACCACAGATTGAACATAAATAGACGAGAACATGATACTCCCTACATTACAACAGTGAAATGCTCAAGATGAAAGGAAGAAGATTTTTTACATTTTGCTGTTTTGATACAAATTATTATTTAGAACTCAGAATATCTCTCCGGTGAGGCTTGGTGACATTCATACAAGGTCAACAAGGAACAGATACTTTCGAATTACATTGTACTGAATTTTTTTATTTTTCTTTCTCTTATTTGGGCCTACATGTGTACATCATACCTAATGGAAATATAAAAAGTAGGGCCTATAAGCAAGAATTAACGAGCAAATTAATAAAATACAGAAAGTTTGAAACATGAAAAAATAATAATATTATATCTATACTATGTACCTATCCAATAAAGGCATTACTGTTAAACATTATGTGAATGCAAATCTGTCCAGGGTAAGTAACACCCGATAAAGAAACTCTCCGTTGCGATATCGGGTGTTACATTAAAATTTGCGAACGTGAGCCAAATGGGTGTTACTTACCTCCATGCAACCCGGTCTAGGACGTGTTAACTCGTAACACATCGTATAAAATTTCGGTTATATTTTCAAAAAACATTATTATTACAAAAAGCCAAGAGATTTAAATTTTGTAACTGGAAATTTTCAATTAAAATATCTATATGATTTATTTTAACTATGCAAATTTAGTCTGCACCAATTGTGTCTGTTATAAATTAATATCAATTATTTCATATAATTTCTCTTATTAATATAAATTAATAGTCGCAATTATTTGAGCTATGCCTACATACAATTTTGCGTATGCATATATGGCACGTCGATTTCAAATTTATAGTTTGAATAATGTCATATTGCGGTTGATATTCTGCTTGCTAAGCTGAAAATTATTGAAAGAAGCATATTATTGAGATATACCAGGGCATGGTTAGATGAAAAAACACAGGGTGTTTATCTATAAATTATCACATTAAACAAGATAAGATGTTGAGATACAGTTTTTACTGAACTTCTCAAGTTTTTGCTTAGATCTCATTTTTACTTGATATCGAGATTAGGGGCTTATTTTTAATGTAACACCCTGTAGGTATATATTACATTAGGGCTGGAACTCTGTAATGGATAGAGATCGTTATCCCTATCGCTATGGCACTTGCTGTCTTCTCTCTTTTCGAAATCAATAGAGAGGGAACGTCAATAGAGATAGAGAAAATATCTTTATTCGTTACAGAGTCCCGAATACCTTTTCCTTTTCCTTCAAAGTAATTGTAATTCCATTGTATAAGGGAGGGAAGGATGACACTCCTTCTAATTTCAGACCAGTATCTCTTTTGCCTACCTTGTTCAAGATAATTGAGAAACTGGTTAGGGAGAGAGTCATGTTATTTCTGTTGAAGCATAATGTGCTTAATGCTAATCAAATTTGGTTTCCGGAACGATAGTTGCACAAATGATGCAATTTTTGCATTGTTGGACCACTTGTATATCCATTTAAATGATGGTGCAGTGTTCTGTGACCTGACTAAAGCATTTGATTGTGTCAGTCATGTTATACTGCTACGGAAACTTGAGTTTTATGGCGTCAGGGGTATGTGTCTGAGGTGGTTTGGGTCCTAACTTTCAGAGAGGACTCAGCTCCTTTTGCGGGGCAAAGATCTGATCTCGGTGATGTGCCGTGCGGAGTGCCTCAGGAGTCGGTTCTTGGACCAATTTTGTTGCTCCAATATGTTAACCCTTTCGGTCCCAGCGCCGCAATTATACGTCGAATACTAAAAATGCGTTGAGTCCCAGTGCCATATATATACGTTCAAGGGTAGTTGGTTTTCTAGAACCATACCCGTATATGCGGCAATATTAAATTTAGCCCGTCCAATAGACCCACCGCCGTATAAATGTGTCACTGCGTGCTGGGCAGATATGACCAAAGCCGCAAAAATACGGCAGGTCAATTAAAGCGATAGGTCATATAGGCCACAACAATACTTGCATGGTGCGAGAGTGGCACAAAATAACTGTAGTGTCCTTTACAAGGAAAAGGAAGCTTGGCTCCTCAATCCATGAGGGGTGGTGGTGGTGAAACCCTTTGCAAATGAAGTCAAATATCTAGGAATACCTTTAGATAAAGGGCGTTTCTAGAACTTCCATCTGGCAAAAATAAAACAGAAAGCTAGCTACTCACTATGCACCTGCCGCAAGATCTGTGGCAAATATACTGGTTATATATCATGGTCATCAGACCAATGATAAGATATGGCTCTGTAGTTTAGTCGGAAAAGGGGCAACAGCGCACCGCCCAATGCGAGCTAAACGGACTACAAAAACAAGTCTGTTCGGCAATAACAGGAGGTTTCAGCACTACGCCAACGTGAAACCCTGAACCAGGTCACTCCACCTATAGAAGGGTCTCAAATCCTTAACGGGAGAAGCAAAAGACTAGCAGGGAAAATCTTCACAATGAACGAAATAAAATGAGCTACTGATAGCTTCAGACCCTACAAATCTCCAGGCAAAGACGGGATCATTCCCGCATAACTGCAAAAAGGCTACGAGTACCTACTTAAAGGTACACTTAGAAAAACTTTTCAAAGCGTCTGGTCCTAGGACATATACCGCTATTTTGGGGGGAGCCTTTGTTATATTTATACCAAAAACTTATCGTCAACCTCAGGATGAAGCGAAATCATACCTTCCCATTAGCCTAACCTCCTTTCTCCACAAAACAATGGAGAAAGTAATTGACCAGTAGGTACATCAGAAGCAAAACTCTATTGAGAAGACCGCTCTACTCAAGGCAATTTGCCTATCAGCCAGGCAAATCCACAAGTGCATTACACTGCTTAGTTAAAGACATTGAAAGGACATTCGAGTGCAAAGAGATCGCTCTCACAGCATTCATTGACATAGAGGGTGCCTTCGACAATACCTCACAGGAATCAATCGCTAAAGCCTTACAAGAATGGAATGTTGAAGTCCCAATTGTAAAATGGATGCTGAAACACCGTTACGTT